AATTTGCCATCCTTCTAGAACAATGTGCATTTATGTTAAAATTGTAACATAAATGATCAAGTTTAGTTATTTTTATTTCTTTATTGCAAAACGCTAAAACTGGCACCGTTTTGGAGAGAAATGGGCTCTCATTTTAACCCATATCATGGTGTGTGATGCTGAACTATGAGTTTCTAATGGTGTTTGTTGCACTGTTCTAAACATTAATATTTTATGTGCAACAACAGCATATGCTGTCTCATTGGCCTTACACATGATTTTAAATCTATTTTTTCAAACTTTATGATTTAAATGGGGATGATTGTACTGAGAATAACTTTCATCTTTTCTTCAACTGAATACTGTTTCCGTGCTGTTTTGATGTATTTTAAAGAGCTGGCAGTCAAAATTAATACTGCTGGATCATAGATATTCTTCAATTTTTATGACAAATAAGATAATGTGAATTACAGAATGTACAACGTTTTTAAAAGGTATCAATGTTACAGCGTTTATTATGAGGGGGTAGAATCCACAGCTCAGTACTCACTACTCAATACTCATGAGTACTTTTAAATAGGCTACTCTTTTACTCTTACTCGAGTAGTTTTTTGGACAAGTACTTTTACTCTACTCACACTACATTTTTTGGAAGGTAATGATACTTTTATGATCCCTACTAAAAACTATAATGGCTTTCAAAAAGATTCAGTCCATGCTGTATCTTCATATTAGCCAGAGGACGTTCAAGTGACACTTTGCTTTGCAACACAGAAACTCACCGATCCATCTGATGCACTTGCGCCCACTTTGTCTCCAGTGGAGTTCCAGCATACTTCAAAAATCCCCCCCGTCCCTCTGTAGCTGTTGACTAAAGCACCACTCTGTAGGGCAGAAATTGAGACTCAAGTTAAGAACACCAGTCATGCAATGCAGCACAGTGACAGATCAATATATCAGCCAGGCCGGTTAATGGGCAGCAGCTGAAAACGGTCTCTTTAATCGACGATTAATGTAAGTCTGATTCTCCTAAGTATATTTATCAGCACACTTGATTGACTGGTTTTATGGCTAAATATCTAAATTAGGATAAAAACAGCTAAACTGATGTTGCCATTTGGAACATTGAAAAAAAATATTACATTTTATTTTAAGGTTTTCTTTACAAAACTAAAATGAAAATTGCAGTTTTCTAACACTCATATACAGTTAATCTTTAAAAACACTAATTTATCAGTACTGTTAAATGTAATCTTAAGCAAATCTCTAAATGAATGGCCATTTTTCATTTTGTACATTATGAGGTTTCATGAAAGGATCAGCTCATACACAACTGTTCAAAGTCAGAAAGATTGTTTTTTTTTTATTTTTTATAAATTGATACTTTTATTGAGCAAGGATGCATTAAATTGATCAAAAGTGACAGTAAATACATTTATAATATTACAAAAGATTTCTATTTCAAATAAATGCTTCATGGTTTTTCACAAAAATATTAAGCAGCACAACTGTTTTCCACTGATAATAATCAGAAATGTTTCTTGAGCAACAAATCAGCATATTAGAATGAAATTTCTGAAAGATCATGTGACTGAAGACCGGGGTAATGATGCTGAATATTCAGCTTTGCCATTACATTAAAATACATAACATTAGAAAACAGTATTTATAAAATGTAATACTATTTCACAATATTACTGTTTTTTTTTTTACTGAACAGCCTTGGCGAGTATAAGAGGCTTCTTTTAAAAATCATTCTCTTCACAAAACAGTTGGCCAAAGCAACTGCGTCTAATAAAATGAAGACGTTATTATTCTCATGTGAATATGTAATGAGTATTAGTTTGTTAAATAGCCTACAGTACCTGCGTGTTCCAGATATGGACACACTTGTCGAAGGAACCGCTGGCCAGGTGCCGCCCATCTGGACTGAATGCCACGCTGTAGACGGGCTCCTGGTGTTTGGTCAGTGTGTGGATGCAGGCACCATGCTCCGCGTCCCACAGACGCACCGTTGAATCAAACGACGCACTTTAGGCAGAAAAAAAGAAAAAACATATTTTCAAAGTGTATTGATACTTACACAAATTAAAAAAAAATGGTCTATACAGATTTAAAATTTAGCCGATCAAAGAACAGCCTTTCCAAGTGAAGAGTGATGGTGGCTGTTTGTGTACCTGGCCAGCATGAGGTTGGCATTGGGGTTGTTGGTTCCAGGGCCAGTTGGGCTCCATTTGATGGTGTAGATCTCCTTACTGTGGGCTTGCAGGTCATGAACACAAGTGTCCTGTTTCATGCTCCAAAGCTAACGTTCAATGGAAAACACAACATTAATTGAACACACTCCCAGTTAACAATGCAAACACATTAGTAAAGATCTAAATCATCAAACAAGAGATGACTAGTTGTTTGTATCTTACCTTTAGCGTCATGTCATCAGAGCAGGAGGCCAAGAGATTCCCCGTTGGATCCCATTTGATTGCATTGACTTCATTCTGAAAATAAAGGAGTGCAAACCATCAGTGATGTAATCAGTTAGTATGCTTAACCCTATAATGCTGTATCTATCATATTTGATGCATATTTGCTTATCCATTGACTTACCCAAGGAATTCTAATATAACTTCCAAAATGTCTGCCTCTATCGCAACTGCAAAATCTTTGCTGATTTTGTAATGGCAAAAACTAATTTTATATTATTGCAATTATCGCTTAATAAAATAGTTATAGTTTCAACAGCAGAGCATGGTGCAAGCAACGCTGAGATCATAGGCTCGATTCCCACATAATGCATGCACTTAAAATGTGTCTCTTGAATGCAGTGCAAGGTGCTTTGGATAAAAGCAACTGCCAAATGGAGAAATGTAAATGCATTTTGCAATGATATTTGATATTTGAAAAAACAAAAATCGATTGTATTTATTTTTTGCTTAATATTTCATACATAAGACAATCTAAAAACAAAATTGAAAATGTCTATTAAAAATGCTATAGCAGGTGTTATTAAAAACTTGAAGATCACTTTATTAAGATATATGTACAGGGAACTGATAATTACATGTATTTTTAGGCAGCCTGTTCTTTAACAATGTTTTTGCCACCATAATTTTATTTATACACAATATCTTTTACGTATATTTGTATACATTATATTAAAATAAATTAAATATTCATAACAAATATATTTACACATTTATAAATTTTTTATATAATTTCACTGGTTTCATCCTTTGTTGGCATTGCTCTGACCAACAAAAGGTTTTTAATTTAGAAAAAAAATAAAAAGAAATACTTCAAATGTGATGTATAAAGAACATGCTTTTTTCAATTGTTCAATAGACAGTTTGAATAAATAAATAAATAAATAAATATACACACTGACTTCAAATGTCAGGCTTTACAGGGTTAAAATATCACTTTTAGGGTTTCTGGGATACCAAATAGTCAAAGTAATATAAGTAAATATCAATAAAGATTTAACTAAAGAATATTTTAATTGAGTTATTAAGTATATCCACACTCTATTAGAATATCTAATGTAAGTGGCTTACTGTGTGGCCCTGGAATGTTTTGGCTGGTCTGTCCTGGCCCAGTTTACACACGTGAATGCACATGTCTGTGCTGCAGGAGGCAAACGTGTTGTTGCTCTGCCAGTCCACGTCCAGAGCCGGAGCTGCAGGCGGCAAATGCAAACCACATCATTCTTGACCATTCTTTTGAAACTAGCTAATGTACAATCGGCACATTTGGATGACAAGAAAGAAGTTTTCTAACTTAAAACCAAAGATAGATTTATATCCATAATAAAGAACCCTTCTCAGTGGGGGTTTAAAAAGAATCCCACAGCTAATCACTATACCGAAATACTCTCTCTGAAGATTCTATAGTTCACATCGCAAACAATACGGCTGAGAAAACCTGTCATGTATACGTTTATTAATGTGCATTAATTAGTGTATTTATTATTATTTACTCGCCCTCAAGCCATCCTAGGCATATATGACTTCCTTCTTTCAGATGAATCCAATCGGAGTTATATTAAAAATGGACTTTGATCTTCCAAGCTGTTTAATGGCAGTCAGCGGGTGTTGCAGTTCATCAGTCCAAAAGAAGTGAAATAAAGCGCATCCATCCATAATAAAAAGTGCCTCACACGGCTGGGGGCTTTGTAAGAAAAATATGCATATTCAAGACGTAATAATCACTTTAATCTAGCTTGCGCCAACAGTTGTACACGGAAGCAGCTCCGGGAGGATGATGTAAGATGTCGGCGTTGCGCATGCACCGGTGAGTCTCGTGAAAACCACTTTAGCAAAGGAAAACCAGTCTCCTCTTGGCTTATATCGAAATCCTCCAACATTCTTCTTTACAAATCCTCGTTTTGTACTTCTAATTCGTGACCGTTGTTTTGTTTTATCTCTCCCCTGCGCTTTCGCGTTCGTCACTTCTGAGCGGCGCATGCGCAACGCCGACGTTATCCGCCCGGAACTGCTTCCGTTTACAACAGTGAGCGCAAGCTAGATTAAATTGATTATTACGTTTTAAATATGGTTATTTTTCTTACAAAAACGCATATATTCGCTACAGGAGGACTTTGTTCACCCCCCAGAGCCGTGTGAGGCACTTTTTATTATGGATGGATGCGCTTTATTTCACTTCCTTTGGACTGATGCACTGCAACACCTGCTGCCATTAAACAGCTTGGAAGATCAAAGACAATTTTTAATATAACTCTAACTGGATTCGTCTGAAAGAAGAAAGTCATATACACCTATGATGTCTTGAGGGTGAGTAATTCATTGGCTAATTTTCATTTTTGGGTGAACTAACCCTTTAACAAAGTGTTTTCCCCCATTTCTCAATTTAATTAGCAAGAACGCCAAGGTTAGTTTTGGGAAAATTAATGTCCTGCTTGTGGTGATTTTTGTTACTCACCTGAATGGAATGGAAATTGTTGCTTGGCCTCTCCCGTGTGTGCGTCCCAAATAATGGTGGTCTGAAAGGTGCGCATTTCCATTAGCATCTCAACTTCGCCACATCATCTTATCGTGACAGAATATGATAATCACACAAGATTATACTGTACCTTATCAACACCAGCGCTGAGGATAAAATTTCCTTTCTTGTTCCACTTTAAAGCAAATATGGGACCTTTGTGCTGCCCCAGTGTACTGGCAAGATTACCTGGCGGTTATGGGACACTTATTAGATAAACAGGATTTTGTCATTCAACTGATGTTAATGATTAGTAAGTTAATAAAGCTAACCATCTTTAGTCCATATCCTGGCAAAGCCATCATAGGATCCTGTGGCAAGAAGTGTACCTTCACTCTGTCCAACACAATAGACAGAAATATGAATTTGATTAATTTGTTCTGTGTATGAAGAGCGTGGAAAAGAGAAAGCTCAGACACAAAAGTTGCAAGTAGGGTTACTTCAGTTCATAAGCGCTAGTCCCAGCACTCACATTCCAGTCCAGTGAGGTGACGTCTTTGTTACTGGGTACATCCTGCCCCCCCTCCCGAATGCAGTGCCGCAGCACCAGCTGAGTGGATCCTCCCACGCTGCTCTCACTCAGGTTCCAGATCCGTGCGGTTGAGTCTCCAGAGCTGATGGAAACAACAAAACAGAGATAAATTCCCACAGAAATGTACAGGACATTAAGCCAAGACATGCAAAGCAAAAACTGTATTTCCGTCATGACAACTCTGAGAAAGTTTAGTATGGTAATATGCATGGCAATGTTAATGTGTTTGGTCTTGGTGGAATAGATCTGCTATGCTGTTGCTGTGGCAGCGCAAGTACCGAGAATGGCTAGTGCCAATACATCCACAGACATGCTGCAGTGAGCATGTAAGAAATACTGCTGCTGCACATATGAAATATGAAATGAACCCATAACAGATAATTATAATTAATTATAATTTGTTATATTTATATAGCGCTTTTCTGGGTACTCAAAGCGCTTAACATGGAAGGGGGGAATCTCCTCAACCACCACCAGTGTGCAGCATCAAAGTCCCTTTAAGGCAAGTCAAGTCACTCGGCGGCCATCTTTGAAACGCTTCTCGGGCATGCAAGTGCAGCTCCTATCACTTTGTATGGGGAAACATTAAATTATCCCAAACTGTTCACTAAGATTACGATAAAATTTCATATTTGAAATCACCAATGAAATCTGACAACAACTGTGTCATAAATATAGTTTCTTTTGCTCAAATAGCGTTATAAAGCTTCTTTTTTCAGGCTAGATCAGCCAATGCGCATGCGCAGTCCTAAGCGCACGTCTCAGAACGCTGACTGTTTCTATAGCAACCGGGACGCTTCTAACGGCAGCTGCAGTGACGCGCTGACTTTACATGTCTTGGGTATTCTATAGTCTTTGGCAGCATCCACCTGGATGATGCGACAGCAGCCATATTGTGCCAGAACGCCCACCACACAGCAGCTTATTGGTGGAGAGGAGACAGTGACGAAGCCAATCAGTATATATGGGGATGACTAGGAGGCCAGGATGATGGACACAGGCCAATGGGTGAATTTTGGCCAGGATGCCAGGGTTATACCCCTATCCTTTTTCGAAGGACATCCTGAGATTTTTAATAACCACAGAGAGTCAGGACCTCGGTTTAATGTCTCATCCGAAGGACGGTGCTTTTTGACAGTATAGCAGGGGTCGCCAACTGGCAGACTCCGGTCCGAATCCGGAAATAAATAAATGCCAAACACAATTTTCTAACAAAATCTAATTTACATCAAGCACATCAAGGTCAGCTCAGTAGAGACGTTTGGGTCCACGGGTTGCTAGTTAACTGTTGCTACGTTTATATGTGCGGTCGTGCATGCAGTGCAGAGAGCAGCGTGCAGACAGATGAAGCAATGGCATTCTCCAAATAAATAAATAAAAATAAGAAAGCTAACGGGTCCTTAAAAAGTCTTCAATTTCAGGAGGTCTTAAATTTGGGGACGATAAGACAAGAATTGCGATATGGATTAATGTGATGATTAAACTTCAAAAGGCTGTGATTTCATTAAATAAATATGAGCGCTGCATGTTTCAAAGTCAGCTGCTGCTTTGCTTTGTTTACAGCTGTTACCAGGGAAACGGGTATTTCCGAAAGCGCCTCCTGCCGGCAGAGAATTAATCTGCATTTTCAATAAGCCCGTCTGCTGTTTTTGTTCAGACCAATGTGAAAATCAACTCATGTTTTTAAGCAGCAAACACGCAGAGTTGTAAATGTGAACTAGTGGTCGACAAGAAGATAATGCATTATAGTAGCATATATTTATATGTTATTTAATTAATAGGCTATAATAATTGATTGATAATAATTGTTTAAATTAATATAATTGATACCTTTGCTTCAATTTTCTTAAAAAAAAAAAAAAGTTTAAAGGCTGAAATGTAAAGTTAATAATTAAAAAAAAACGGTGTTTTTGTGAAAACCTGTATCTGAACTCTAAATCATGCTTTTTACAGTCATTTTAATTTTATTTGTGCAGGTCTTAAAAATTCTTAAATATGAGCTTAAATATCCTGCAGATACCCTGGTCCGGTAAAAACAGTCAATTCATGTTTTTAGGTAGGCCTATATAATTGTCCGGTCCTCCGCTGGTGAGGAGGGTTCATTACTGGACCTCAAACAATTTTAGTTGAAGACCCCTGCAGTATAGTGTCCTCATCACTATACTGGGGCATTAGGACCCACACAGACCACAGGATGAGCACCCCCTGCTGGTCTCACTAACACCTCATCCAGCAGCAACCTAGTTTTCCCAGGAGATCTCCCATCCAGGTACTAACCTGGCTCAACCCTGCTTGGCTTCAGATCTATACAGGTGGAACTGGGGAAGGTGGAGGGTTTCTGAAGTGCGCTGCAACTGCTAAAGCAAGTTCTAGCCAAGTATTTAAATGTTGAGATGCAAGCTCATTGGCTGCTAATGCGGAAAAAAAAACAATCAGCTCTGCCATGTGAATAATGATGTCATTATATCAGATTGAGTTAGAAACTATCAGCCTGCGCCATCTAGAGTTTCATGACAGAACTTTGTATTAAAATTCACAGTATGAGAAAATAAACTGTGGCTTTGGCTTAATACCGACCCAGAGGCCAGCAGATCACTGACAGGGTTCCATGCACAGATGAAGACCTCAGACTCGTGGCCCCGCAGCACCATGGCTTTACTGGCTGGGATCTCCACCGCCCTGTCCACCTCCATCATGTCTGAGTGGTGGTCTGTCAAAGGAAGAGGCAGAAACACTTTCAGTGCTATGTGACATTATTAGTGGAGGGAAAAAAACAATACATTCTACGATGCATCGTGATTCTCTTCAATGATTCTGAGCTTTGTTTTTTTTCACATGTCACATGACCATTCATGCAGGTACAACAATGAGCATGTTGTTATTGTTTACACGGTTGTCAAGGATGCGCAGAACGAATGTGGGCAGCCACGCCATCGTTTTGAAAAGTCTCCGTTTTGGTCCGTATACACTGAAACGCAATCCCGGAGTGTTCAAACTAAAACGGGTCCGCAGCGTTTTCGAAAGTCTCCGTTTTCGAGGGTCGAAAACACTGGGCTAGTGTAAACAACAGGCGTAACCGTTGCAAAAGTTTTGCGTTTTAAAATGAAAATGCACTAGTGTAAACGTAGCCTCAGACACTGAAAATACTTTTTGTTTATTGCTAGTAATTGTTTCTTTGTTCCCCTTTATTTATACTTTCTTTGATGTTTTGAAGCTATATTCATTTTAGTTATTAAGTTCAAGTTCAGTTTATTTATAAAGCACATTTAAAAACAGCCACAGGCCGACCAAAGTGCAGTAGAAGTTAAAATAAAGAAAAAGAAAAAAAAAATATATATACTGTATATATATATACACACTAAATAGCAGCAAAACAGTTAAAATAGAACACTCTTATAAAGTACACTAATACTAGCAAAACAGTTAAAACAGTGTTAAAACACTCTTATGAACTAAAAGCAACAGAGAATAAGTTGAGACATTAACATACAATTGTTTTGATTTAATTTTAATTTGTAATTATTTTAAAAGTACTTCCAATTATAAAAGTTATTTCATAAAAATGAATTTGATATTTTAATGAATAATAATGAATTGTGAGGTGCTTAAAGATCCCCACCCCCAGACATCATTCATGCTAAAGACAATCAATGTGCTTCATTTAAATATGTAAATGAGCAGCCATGATGTTCTTTAAAGGGGTCATATGATGCTGCTAAAAAGAACATTATTTTGTGTATTTGGTGTAATGAAATGTGTTTATGCGGTTTAAAGTAAAAAAAACACATTATTTTCCACATACTGTACATTATTGTTTCTCCTCTATGCCCCGCCTTTTTGAAACGCGTCGATTTTTACAAAGCTCATCGGTCTGAAAAAGCGAGGTGTGCTGTGATTGGCCAGCTATCCAGTGCGTTGTGATTGGCCGAATACCTCAAGCGTGAGACGGAAATGTTACGCCCCTCACCATACTGTTGTATTCCCTCAGCGACCAGCACGGATCAGCTCTAGGCATGACGAAGCGGATATTGTCCTCTTTTGGAAGACCAAACAAAGTAGTTTCGCTTTCACAACGAAGCACACAGCCTCTTCAGGATATGGCGGCGGCAACAATACTACAGTGAGAATAAAAGTTACGCCTTCTTTCTTTGCGTGAACATTTGGGCGGCGTTATGCAAATCTTCCCACAAAGCGACGTAGACATGTGGGGGCGTGTTAGAACGAGCCGTTTTAGGTAGGTGTGGCTGACTCTTAACTTTTATAAAGAATATCTCTTTGGATTTGAGACTTTAGTCTTTGCAACTTTACAGATCTTCTTTATGCACCAAGAGCTTGTAACACTCCAAAGAGAAAGGAAAAATTGAAATCGCATCATATGACCCCTTTAAAAATGCACCTTTTGTGTTTAACCTAAAAATTTGAACTAAACTAAAATAAGCTTAAGTTGAAGTACTAAAAATGAAATCAATATAAATTAAAGCTAAATAAAATTAAAAAGACAACAGCAGTAACTAAAACTAAAATTAAAATAAAAAGTCAAAATAAAAAAAATTAAATAAAGCTAAAACAGTATAACTACAAAAAAAAAAAAAAAACACTGGTTATGGTCAGAATAGTCTATTCAGGACAAACTGATGGTATTTCAGCAAGATGCTATTTAAACAGGTCACATGCTGTGTTCATCCAATACATGTTATCGATGCCACAAATATGCAAAGAACATTAATCTGGGGTTTACAAATGCACAGTGTGAAAACTTGCAACTTGAAAATCCAGGATTAATTCCTAACCCAGGGTAAAGACTGGACAGTGTGAAACAGAGAAAGCAATAACCCAGGATTCTCTTAAATGACCAGGGTTGAGAATGACCAGGGGTTAATAGTTAATTATTAATAGTTATTAGTGTGAAAAGCCCTCATGATGGTGAGTAAATGCTGACAATTATATTTTTGTGTTTTCAGTCACAGGTTGAGCTGTCTTATTGACAACTCTGGCAGTTTCAACCAAGTAAATGTAGGGCGTGAGCTTACTAGACAGAGTGTGAGATCCGTTCTCTTCTCCATTAGCCGTGCTCTCTCCGTTCTTGGCAGCGGCAGCCACTGTGGCGCTGGAGGCAGCGGCAGCTTGCTGCTGAGCCAGCTTATCCTTATACACCTGCTGCCTCGTTTGCACCACGTCTGGCATCACTGCATCAATCAAAGACAGCGACTCGATCGGTCGTCCATCAAACAGCGTACCGTCCTGTGACCACATTACACAACAGGTACAAAAAGGTTGAGCAAATTTTTTTTTCCATAGAATATCCTTGAATATTTAATGGGGAAACTGGGAAATATCCCTATCTGTTGGCGGTAACAGCGCTGACCTCATTGATGCTGACTTCAGCCTCCACATACTGCAGGCCTTTCTGGATGATGGAGATGAGGGCAGCAGGGGGCACCAAAGCTCCATTGATGTTGGACTGGCTGATGTGGCTCTCTATGCCAAAGGTGAACGCTGAGTGGAAGAAGCCTGCAGGGGAAAGGAAGAAAGCACTTGTTACCATTTAGGAACAAGTATTTGTGAACAGTGAGGTAAAAAGTATTGGTATTCTGGTACAAAGTCAATATAGAAATTGTAAAAATGTTACACAATCAAAAACAGTACTCCTGAACAAATTTGGTCGACTGACAGGGAGCTGATTTCAAACCTGGGTTAAAAACATAAAAAAATATTTGCATTAACTGAAACAAAATAAACAATAACTGAAAAAAAAAAAAAAACGAAACAAAAAGTGAACTTGTTTTATTTCAGCTAGTTGCCAATGAAAAATGAAAATTCCAAAACACAACAAAATTACTAAACCTAACTAAAATTAAAGTGAAAACAGAAAATATAAAATAAAAAAATATTAACAAAAAATATAGTATATCAATTATGAGACTCAAATAAAAGTTTCAAACAATCACGTGTATTTGTGCTAAATACACATGTATTTTTTTTAACACAGTACAGGTTTTACTCTGTTCGTTGCGAGTAAATCATTTGCATATGAGACTAAATTCCACACTAGACGACTAAATAATGTCTATTGTTAAACCCTAAAAATTGTTATTCTTCAGATGTTGCAACGGTTGTGATATGACATCACGCTCTGCAGCATCTTTTAAAAAATGTAATTCAACACATAAATAATAACACATCCAACATGTAAAAACACATAATCTACTCCAATTTCCTGCAGCATTGCAGTTTTAAATTTATGTTGTTTTAATTCAGCTCTGAGGTCATGCCGTGACGCATCAGTCTTCTATTGGTCACACGGTTTTACGTGATACGAATTCACAGGTCAGAGTTCAACAAACTTGAACTTTGGAATGCCATGAAATGCAAAACTTCTTCGCATGAGCTTGCATTTCCACTCACCTGCCTTCACATGTGTATGAATGGCAGTGAATGGAACAAAAAGTGTAGTTTGACCACCCCTTTAGTCATTGACTAATAAATTGTTAGATTTCACTTGCTAGTGTTTGAGGTAAAAACTAAGATATATTTGCCCTTGCCTACACTTGAACACTGACTGAGCTTTCCAGCACACTATTGTATCAGTGACATATGATATCAATGAATGGACAGCATATTTGACGAACCGTAAACTCTAGTGTGTGTAGGTGCCTGACACACCATCGAAACTGACAAAGTGTGTGTAGAGTGTGGGTTAAATAACTGAAATACTTCACAATAGTTCAATATTTAAAAAGAGTTTCTTTGGTAGTAAAATAGTTTTTGTTATATAGTGAAATTCCACTGGTATTAGTTCTGACAAACAACAGCATATAAATCAGATTTTTTCACTACCTGAATGAAAAGTGAGAGATGTTTGCCCAGAACAGACTGTCAAGATGTTGTGAGAGTGTTTTGGATAACTGCAAGGTAGTTACTATGCAGTTGGTTTTGTCCTGAGTGGTTTTTAGTATGCTGTAATGTGGTTTCTAGGGTGTTCTGGGTGGGTTGTTAGGAGGTCGAACCACTAATTAGTTCCTAGGAAATAAACATGGCACAGGGCAAAAACCTGACACCGCATGCAATATGAAACAGGACATACAAATGAAGAGGCTAGTCTGCAGATGATGAACAGATACACACCTGACTCCTGCAGGTATCTGTACACCAGGAAATTGACCTCATCACTGCTTATGCTCATTTTGGATCCTGGGTGAACCAAGAGGTCAGGGCGAGAGTGGAGCCTGGAAAACAAAGGCACGTTGCGTTACTGTGCTTCACCAACAGCAGAGAGCTTTGGACATTACTGGACATTTACACCAACTTGCTTTTCAAAGAAATGTATATTTTTATTCAACAAAGGCACATTAAATTGATCAAAAAGGAAATAAATGTTAAAATCAAAGGCACGTTGCGTTACTGTGCTTCACCAACAGCAGAGAGCTTTGGACATTACTGGACATTTACACCAACTTGCTTTTCAAAGAAATTTATATTTTTATTCAACAAAGGCACATTAAATTGATCAAAAAGGAAATAAATGTTAAAATAAAAACAATTCTATTTCAAATAAATGCTGTTTTTTAACTTTCTATTAATCAAAGAACCCTAAAAAAAAGATCAAGCAGCAAAACAGTAATGATGCTGGTTTCCCATCACGGGATTAAATTTCATTATGAAATATATTAACACAGAAAACAGTTAATTTAAATTGTATAATATTTCCAACATTACCAAACTTTTCACTAGTAGTGTTAACTACTGATAGCTGATAAAATTATATTCTAAAACACCAGTTCTGTTTTTACTGTCACTTATTAACAAGACATGCACATTATTTACGTTTTGTTTTTCTTTCTTGTGATTTTAATTTTGCCCGATGCTTTTTAACACTTTTTTTTTCTTTTTTATAAGGTGAAAAACTATACAATAAAGTTAAAATTGTATATTTGAAAACGTTGTGACATAAAATACAATAAAATACATACATTACATTAAATATTTAATAAAAAAACAAACAAACAAAAACAGTAGTAACTAGTAAATCTGACTACCTTGTACAATTTTTTTAATCATCTAGCCACCTTGGCTGGTAAGCTTAAAGGGGTCATATGATGCGATTTCAATTTTTCGTTTCTAAAAAGACAGTATAAGTCATTATAATCAGTAATTATGTCCCCACTGGATGCAACAAATGCCTCGTTTGTAATGGGTTTTATTGTTTTTGTCTTGTCGCACTGGGACACAGGGCATCACAGTATGGTAAGGGGCGTAACATTTCCGTCACACGCTTGAGGTATTCAGCCAATCACAACGTACTGGACAGCTGGCCAATCAGAGCACACCTCGCTTTTCAGACCGATGAGCTTCGTAAAAATCGACGCGTTTCAGAAAGGCGGGGCATAGAGGAGTAACAATAATGTACACATTGCATTACACCAAATACACAGCATAATGTTCTTTTTAGCAATGTCATATGACCCCTTTAAAAGTTCATTTTGGACCATGCAAAAGATGTAGTAAACCTGCTCTCAGTACACATTAACAATGCAAACTTTTTAAACAGAGAACGGAACATGACCTCCTCGACTGAACTTTCTCATGGATGCCTATTTGAACCTTGGGGAGATTTTCCACCCATTTGCTCACTTGAATTGAAAGAATTGTTAGGAAGTTACACAGTTGGGACGGATATTGTGATGGGAAGAATTGCATGTGTAAAACAAGAGGAAATGCTTTAGATGCACTCATACAGCCTCTTTCAGTCTAATAAGCTTTTACGTAAAACAGCAACCTATCATATGCCAAGACTCCCTGTAGTTTACGACGTGTCAACAGCCCTGAAAGTGCAACGGTTTGTCTATTCACAATCAAATAAAATGGGCTTACACAACATAATAAAAAGACTCCTAAGCAGTGTAAGATCTGTTAGGCATAAATGTCTTTACATTAAAATCTTTTATCCAAAACTCATACTAATCACATACCAGGACATTTGTTTTCTAAAGAAATAAAAAGATAATTCTCACAGCAAAGCATATCTTAATTAAAATCCAATTGTAAATCAAACTTAAGAGATGTTTTACTTTTTTATTTTATTTTACCTATTCATCTCAACAGCAGTTACTCAGCTGGCACAAGTCCCACACAAGTACACAAATGTAAGACCTTTTCAAGCTATTTCTTATGCAATGAAGGATATTTAAGACTTCTTGTGGCTTAACAAGATGAAATTTAATTTTATGATTTGTTTAAGGATCTCTGTTAATATAGTGTGACACTTGCTTACCATACCAAGTGTTGATTAGATGCTCATACTCTTGCCATCCATGGGAGCAAAGTCAAATCAGCCTGTCAATAAAATCACCATTGTATTAGATACAATAATATTTAGTCAGTCTTTTATTTTTTGTCTTTAATCAAGAAGAGGCAACAGTTTAACAGAATACAAGTGAAAATGTTTGTTGACTCAGCAAGTACATTATTTCAGCTAACAATCGTCTCATTTAACGTTCATTCATCATTTAGCCTAGCTGCAAACAAATGGTAATTCACACACACACATACATACATATACACACATATATTTACAAAAAAAGACTTTCTAGACTTTAAAGGTTTAGTAATAACAACTACAACATTCCTGGATATTTCCAGGAAGCCATTCACTGTGCTTCTTTTCAAAATAAACTAATGTAGCTCTTCTATTCCCCCATTTCAAGCATAAGCAGAAAGTACTCATCATCACAAAATGTAATAATAATCATATAATTACATAAAGATTACATAAGGTTTAAATTCACACAGACAGAGGTATGGTCCCTATAATATACCAGAAACAAGGATTCTGGCAGGTTGTGACCTATTCCGCTTTAGCTGTACTGCAACTCTGGATCTGACTGTACTGGATCTGATCACACAGAAATCAAACTGCTGAACCGGCAGCCAGTGCTAAGATAGTGAGTGAGATCAACCTAAAAAACAACTCTCTGAAACTACTAGAATGACACTTGCTAAGCACTACTAGTAGTGACCGTGACCGATATGGGCTTTATGGCTGACCAATGCTGGATATATAAAATAAATAAGATGTGCATAATTAGGGCTGGGTATCGAGTTCGATACTTTTTAGGCACCGACCGAATTGCCTCGATACCATCGAGTATCGAAAAACATCTCGTCGTTCGGTACTAGGGATGGGCGATATCTTATCGTTTGCGATATACCGGTAAAAATTCTCCGAGATATCATATCGATCACAAGTGCAGTATGGAGTCGGGATGGGCGATATCTTATCGTATACCGGTAAAAATTCTCCACACGATAAGAATTCGTCTTCCTGCGATAATAACGATAAAGTGTAGTTGTTGACATATTTCTGTGTGCGACTGTGGGGAGTGACGTGAAGGAAGGCGGACGTGAAATTGAGCAGCTCCTTCTACAATCTGGAACAGGTTAGGATAGGGCTGTACAGTGCGACAAAAATCGGTCTGAGCCTGGAGTAAATGTACTACAGTAGCACATGTGCGACACAGTTTTATAAAGGCTATGTCGATTAGCATTGCATTATAAATATACTTTATCCTTATAAAAAATACCCAAGATTGCTTGAAGAACACAGATACCATTTATTTTGTGCAATCGCATGTTTATTGTCTTTCTCTATTTTATCTCGTCGTTCGGTACCAAATTTCGATACTTAAGGGGTTAATCTCATCAACGTCCGTGGGCCAATAAGCCTGCAGCACTAGGTGTGCTCAACTAGAAGCGGTGCGGCGCAGATCGATATGTGGTTGACATCAGCGAGAGCGATTCGAAAGCGTACGGAGCAGTCTGCTCTCTATAGCTCGTGGTACTGTAATACACCGATCGGTCTGCATTCAGTCCGCGTCAAGTCGAACACACCTACTGGTTTACACAGGTTACACCAGATTCGGGTGGGAATGTGCAATCTGTGATCGCGTGCCATTGCAGACGCTCGCGAAAGCATGCAATCGCTTTCTTATGCACGCTGTTTTTACGGTTTCACTTTCGAAATCGACCGCTTTCCACTATCTCCGACAAGCGACAGACCGGAAGTCATTCATTTCCAATGGAGAGTAGTGCGCGAGCTGCGTGGAGTTCCGATCATATGCAGATATCCGTTCATACTACACGACCGAAAGCGCCTGTTACGTGACCATTCATGCACACTGTAGCATCATGCTACATAAGATTTATATTCCGCTTTTACTCAAAACTCACTTTAAACCACCATCGAGTGTTTTTAATAACTTCCGATTGCCGTGTAATGTGTGTTTTGGCCATGTAATGTTGCTGAAATTAAATATGTTATTACCTCTGATTTGAGTCAGAGCAGCGATCATGGAAGAGAGAACACAGGCAGACAGCGCTGGAAGCTGCTAATGCTCATCAGTAAATCAGTGGAAAATGAATAAAAATTATGATTCTGTCTGAGCTATGCGTTTTAAAACGAACATGCACTAGTGTAAATGTAGCCTAACAGATGTGTAAACTGAAGACTATTTGAGTTTTATTAAAACTATTTGCACTTATTTTGCATTTATTGTGTTGGTTAGCCTACATTTTGTTCCTTTGTGCAGTGGCTCAGGAGATGAGTCTTTGAGTTTGTATAAACATCAACAAGCTGAAAAATAAAGGCAAATTTTTTTTTTAGATAATGTAATCTTGTTAAAATTAATTTCATACAATTTTTATCGAAAAAAAGTATTGTTCAGGAACCGGTATCGAAGTCAAGGTATCGGTATCGGTATCGATATCGAAAATTTTTGAATAATACCCATCCCAATGCATAATATTTAATCAAAATCCATCAAAACTATTTGAAAAGGACATTGTCCACTGGTCAGGCTGTTGGAAGATTTTGGAATTGACAGCAGGTGAAATGTTCCCATCTGCCATGCGGGCACAGTATTTACCCCAATGACAAAAATTATCTCAAAACAGCCAAAGAGTGGCCAATTAAATGGCCTAGAGATGATATAACAACTTCCCCTATACAGTACTCAAGTAAAATTGGTTTGTAATGTTTTTATTTTTTTTCAGTTTCAGCCATGCACTTTTAGGCTATGGAAGATTAAAAAAAAAAGACGAAAACCTTTCGTTTTCTGATTTTTTTCATTAACGGCCACATTATTACATTGCTTTTCTACTCATTATTAGTACTGAACTGTTACACTTATTAATAAATTAACACTTATTTTAATCTAATTTTTTTTATTTGTATCAAATAGCTAAATGTTCTTGTGCAGACTATAATAAACAGAGCAATATAATACATCACTTATTTGACATTATACAGCTGCTATAATAATAAACATCATCATTGTTCAACTCTGTGACAAACTGACTTCAGTTCAATCTCATCAACAGGTGGATGACATTTTCCCCATTCAAGTCTTATTCAAGGGTAGAGTTCCAACACGTCATTAAGTTAAATAATTAATAAAACACAAAAATATATTTAGTTAATAAAACATAATTAAAAACAAAATTGAATATTAATGCTTTTTAAAAATCTGATCGTAACAACTGTCACTCTGCCGGAAGCGCCTCTAATTGTCATTCGATTATTAGCTTACGGCTAATACGCATCGTGGATAAACGTCACCGGAAACAACAGACTCCCCAAACAAATGCAAAAATGAGCGATTCTAGTTCCAACACGTGGCTGCTTCCATAGCAACGCAGCTAACTAGTAGTCGATTAAATAAAAGCTAGTTGTTGTCAACGTCCATCTCGCGTGCATGGCGTGGGAAACCAGAGCGCCCATCCCCCACCGCGCTGCAGTTTCACTCTGCAAAATCAAAACTTTTAATGACTTATATGACCACTTCAGCAATCTAAAAATGCAAACATAACGGTCAGCTCACGCATAACTGGGCTACGGGAAGTGTGGGGGTGGGGGCTCGTCTTACTCGTGCCGATGCTTCCACTCTCGTCAACCGCTAGCTTCTGGAGCTAAAGTACTGAACAAATGTGCCACAGCGCCGAGGCAAATCCGACAGAAGAGTATCCCTCGACCTTTCCACTCCACAATGATACTTCTGTCCTCGAATAATATCTATTTTCCTGCTGTCTGTAGTAAATACAAAATAAAAAAAGAAACATTTAGCAGCTTATAGACCGCCAAGCGCTTCGGAGGAAGCCGACGGCCTCAGACTAGCACTGGGGCGGAGACTTTCCAGGCGAAAATGAGGTATCAAGCCAACGGGGCTTCCTTTCAATCACAGAAGTAAACAAATTAAAAAAAAGACAAACAAGTAAATAAAACACTGAAAAATATCTGAATTATTAAAAATTATTCAACTCATTTTAAATGCGGGAGAATGCTTATTAAAGCGAAATGTTTATTTTTGGTATTAACTCGTAATAGAAGACTTCTGGTTTGTACCGTGTTGTATTTCGAAATCAACTATTTTCAAAAAATACATAACAAAGTGGTGTTAAAGTTCATACAATCAGACTGATGATGATCAGCAACACGGTCGAATGCCCAACCCCCACCACTGAAACGGAAATTATTTTTTGCCTGGCTGGTCACTGCCTGCTATTCCGCCACACCCACAATCTCCTCTGCTCAGGCACTCAATAACAGACAATTGGTCTGCGTATTACACTGCTATTTTCAATATACCATAAGTTTTCTAAAAGCATCGCAGTAGTCCCGTGACTTACAATCAGTCCCTTGAGTATTAGAACGGTCTGTATCAGCGTATCATAGTCATAACGTGTCATGTTTATATTCGTGACACTGAAGAAAAGCATCTTAAATCCTGAATGTCACAGTGCAAAGCAACGATTGGTTTATTGGATTTTATAAAGATGATAATTTGTACTGTGCAGTGCGATTGATTTCTGAATGGACATACGATCTGTTCTCCCTCTCTCTGTAATATGACAGACCCAAAAGAAAAGGTCAATCCAATTACTGGTTAATTTGTTTTAAAGGAATAGTTTAACCAGAAATGAAAATGTGCTGAAAATTTACTCACCCCCAGGCCATCCAAGATGTAGATGAGTTTGTTTCTTTATCAAAATAGATTTGGAGAAATTTAGCATCACTTGCACACCAGTGGCTCCTCTGCAGTGATTGGGTGCCGTCAGAATGAGAGTCCAAACAGCTGAGAAAAACATCACAATAATCCACAAGTAATCCACAAGACTACAGTCCATTAATTAACGTCTTGTGGAGTTAAAAGCGTTGTGTTTGTAAACTAATCCATTAGTAAGAAGTGATTAAGTTCAAACTGATGATTCCAGCTAAAATAACTTCCATAAATCATCTATACATAATATTGCTTTCTCCAGTGAAAAAGTCATCTGAATCAGGAGAGAAATACAGGTGCATCTCAATAAATTAGAATGTTGTGGAAAAGTTAATTTATTTCTATAATTCAACTCAAATTGTGAAACTCGTGTATTAAATAAATTCAATGCACACAGACTGAAGTAGTTTAAGTCTTTGGTTCTTTTAATTGTGATGATTTTGGCTCACATTTCACAAAAACCCACCAATTCACTATCTCAACGAATTACAATATGGTGACATGCCAATCAGCTAATCAACTCAAAACACCTGCAAAGGTTTCCTGAGCCTTCAAAATGGTCTCTCAGTTTGGTTCACTAGGCTACACAATCATGGGGAAGACTGCTGATCTGACAGTTGTCCAGAAGACAATCATTGACACCCTTCACAAGGAGGGTAAGCCACAAACGTTCATTGCCAAAGAAGCTGGCTGTTCACAGAGTGCTGTATCCAAGACTTCAGTCTGTGTGCATTGAATTTATTTAATACACGAGTTTCACAATTTGAGTTGAATTACTGAAATAAATGAACTTTTCCACGACATTCTAATTTATTGAGATGCACCTGTATGCACAGATCAAGCACTATTGAAAACAGTCCAAAATAGTTTAAAACAAATATGTCAGTGGGTTTTGATGTGAGAAGGCAACTGGGGATTGACTTTTTCATTGGATAAAGCATGATTATGGATTATGGATTTTGGACAGAAGCAACAGTTTAAAGTTAATACATTTTAATGATGGATTTATTTATAAGAAACATACAGCTTGCTGGACTGGAGTTGTGTAGACTACTTGTGAATTATTGTGATGGTTTTATCAGCTGTTTGGACTCCCATTCTGACGGCACCCATTTACAGAGGATCCATTGGTGAGCAAGTGATATAATGCTAAATTTCTCCAAATCTGTTCCCATGAAAAAACAAACTCATCATACACCTTGAATGTCCTGAGAGTGAGTAAAGTTTCAATAAATTCTTCTTTTTGTGTGAACTATTCCTTTAATAAGTGAGTAATTAATGTTTTGCTGCTATTATTAGTATAGCTGTGCTTTAAAAAGGACAAAAAAAAAATCTGGTTTGCCCCCTTATCTGGCTTAGAGTGGGTTAATGTGCAAATAATTATGTCCTTGATGATTGTCTCTTACATGAATATATGCCCTCAGCAATTGTGTAAGATGTGTGTAGAATTTTCCACGCTTCAATACCAGCGTTATACAAGATTGGATACAAACACACCAATAGTAGTGTTTCATGTATCCTTGGCAACAGCACTGGCGCTGGCTGTAAATGAGGCAATCAAATTAATACTGGAACATAAAGCGGGGAATGAGAGAGTAAAAACTGTAACACTCAGAGCCAGGCACGATTATCCATTTTACACCAAATTTAGCATGGAGTGAAACATTACACATTTGGAAGAGATTCTCATCCACTGGTCTCCTATCAAAACACATACTGTCAGTTTAGACCTTTGCGATTCAGTTGTGGGACTGTTTTGGTCAACAAAGAGAGAGCAGGAGGAATGCTTTTGGCAAGCAGGGGATAATATGGCCTTTCAAATGACTTTTTATATCAATTATATTAGATAAACTCAGATAAGAAACACAATCTTTTGATGTGTTGAAATCCAAGCACGTCTGCATCAGGCCCCATTATGCCATTATGCTGCATCGCATAAACCCCAGATTTAATGCACCACCAAGCTGTGAAACTGCCCAATCCATCTAAATGTGACTTCAGTTTTGATCATGGAAAGGTCATCGGTCTTAGCAGTGAAGTCTGAGTCTGGCCTCACAATAACTACTAGATGGATGGTTTACAGAGCTGTGTGTTCCCAAGATTACAGTGTTGTGAAACTTGGCATACGCGCCATTAACCTGAAATATTATGTCTGAGTAATGAATGGTAGGAGGAGATGACACACTTAAATAGCAGTACATTCATAACTCGGAGCACTCCAGAAATACACCATAGATACAGATTGCCATACCCAGCATGTATCTATAAATAAAAACAAAAATCTGTAATTGCTGCAACTGGGAGGCCTTAAGTGCAACAACAACAAATTATGCTTGGATTTTCTTTATTCCAGCAGGTCAGTTTGGACTCAAAACAACATTTCAGCACATTGGAGCCAGTTTGGTCAGTTCTTCGATTAATGTCTTGACCTAAGAATTAAGTTTAGATTTAAAACAGAAATGGTGATTTTAGGTATGGCGAGTTGGGGAAAAAGGGAGGGATGTGAGGGACTTGGGCTGTAGATGGAGGAGCTGAAAATGCAGCAACATCGAAAACCTGAGTCCTGATAGGTCTGGGGAGTAGGGAATTAAGGAAGATAAATCTCTGATCCATAACCTCCAGAAACAACTGTTTCTTGAAGTGCCCTTCTTCGTCATCATCTCGTGCCCACATGGAGGCACCGTCATCATGCAAAGAATCTGTGCAAAGGATCATGGGAGCCCGAAGTGTCCATCAGTTTTACCCTTCGAAACCCTTCATTCTGAAGGGCCCTTTGAAGTGGCCAGTTTTGAGCACTTCGGTTTGGAACGACTCTTCAATATGGCGGCCATGATTGTTTTCACTCCGAATTAGGGATGGGCGATACCTCTTATTTTATTTTCGATCCGATACCGATATTTTCAAGCCCAGTATCGTCGATATCGATATTGATACCGATACCGATACTTTTAAACTAAACTCATCTTTTAAATTATTAAAAGAATATATAATCAGTAATTATACTCACTTAATATTAGATTTTAAAGCCGTGTTTTTTTTACATTTCATAGGCCTTTTTTGTTTACACTGTCAGGAATAAAATATAATTGTATTTTAGCCCTTTACTGGGGCAGTAACCTCAAAGGTGCAACTATACCCCTAAAAGGGTGCATATTAGTACCATGCAACTATGCATGCTTTAAGGGTAGATAAGTTACAAAGGTGCACCTTTGAAGGTACCTCATGAAAAATAAACATGGAGTTACATAAGCACTAAAATGTATTATTATTATTATTATTATTACCATGGTAAATTTGTGGTTACTGCAGCTTTACTACAAATATGTGGTAAACTGTGGTTACTCTAATAAAACCATGGTTAATGTTTGTAAAAGGCTGCCAGGCTGTTGTACCCCTATAGGTGAAACTTTAGCATATTTTTTTCTGACAGATTTATTAACAGCAATTACAGAACATAACACAGTCCATTTGAACTTTTGACAACCAGTTTAAATTAATTTACTTGCACAAACTAGCCAATTTAAAATAAATATTACATGTACACAAAAGTTTGGGGTCAGTAAGATTTTGTAATATTTTTTAAGTCTCATGCTCACCAAAGCTGCACTTATTTGAAAAACAAAAACAAAAAACAGTAAAAACAGCAATTTTGAGAAATATAACAACTAAAAATAACTATTTTCTATTTTAATATATTTTAAAATGAAATTTAAAATGTATCTGTGATCAAAGCTGAATTTTCAGCATCATTACGCCAGTCTTCAGTGTCACATGATTCTTCAGAAATCATTCTAATATTTGCTGCTCAAGAAACATTTATTATTATTGCTGCTTCATATTTGTGTGGAAACCGTGATGCATTTTTCAGAATTAATTTTATATATAGTAACAATGTTATGTAATGTAATGTAATAATGTGGCAATGGTTTCTTAAGATCTACTTATGCTTCTAATGCTTTTGGGAAATGCAGCCCTATTTGAACAAGCACTGTGAGCCATGCGTCAGCAGCGAACGCTGTCTGTGATTGATTGGTTCTGTTTTTCAGCATTTGCGTGTGTTCCGATGAGCAGGAGAAATGGAAACACAATTATTCGCTAATATAGCCTATTTTTCCATTTAGAAG